TTGTGGTCATACGGAATGAGATGTAGAAGACGTAGCGAAGCTGCTTTCCCTTTATATTTGTGCTAAATTATTTTTTGCAACTACGGGTGAGCATATAAGGTGGGCGTTTGTGCACATAATTGACAAACCGGAAAACTTAAGGTTATACGACTGGACTGCAGCAATCTGTAACACTTTGATCAGTTCACTCAATGAAACGTACGGCAGGCCAGAGAGGGTTACAGGATGTGTGGTTTCGTTGCTCGTACGTATACCAAATAAACTATCGCACACATATCTATTTCTCCCAAAACAGAGTTATATTTGTCCTGCTTCTATAGCTAATGTTTTTCCTTGTTATTGTTATTTTAGTTTCTTATTTGTGAGCATTCGAACATGGTGATGCCGGAGCACTGTAATGTGACGCCTTGATTTTGCAAATGGAACATTAGCACACTCGTAGGGAGGTTGAAAGGGGTAAATTTGATGGCGAAAAGTTCAATTAAGGTATGGTACGAAACATCTTTGAAATTTGTTGTTTTAGTTGCCCGTAAGTTAATAATTATGTGTGCGATACTATTGACATTTTGCAGGTTAATTATGATAAAATTGTTAGGACAAGTAATGAGTGTTCCTTATTTAAACCGGAGCAGATTAGGAATGAGGCAAGCCGGAGTGAGGAGATTGTGCTTGATGTGGACCCAGTTAATGTGTGGGTACGACATGAAGCTAATGTCGGTATGACTGATCTGGATAATGTGGAGCCAAGCTTTGATTGGTGGCAGCCTGACTCACCTAACCGTGGTAACGTTGAAGTGAATGGTGTATGTGAAAATGAGAACTTCAACAGTAGGTCGCCAGATGTTAAGAAAGGTATTGGTAGGAAGACACTTGCAACCGGAGAATCATGGCCGGTGTTGTTTCCAGATCTGTTAGACTTGTCATGCACACCAGAGGATGATAAGATGAACACCGAACCCAAGGGCCAGAAGAATGAGTTGGGAAAATCTAATGAGAGAATTAATGAATAAGAAAAGGAAATTAAATCGAAGACATCATGGGTCTATGAATTGGAACATCGGGTCAAATTGTTGGAGAAGATGCTTGGGGCACAGTCTGCTAATTTGTTTATGGGGTTTGATAGCGTTATCGTTGGAAAGAACACTGAAATTGCACACCTTAATACCCTGTTGAACAGTTGAAAGAAACAATAGCCAAGTTGGAGGACAATCTTGATGATCATGAGGTGCACGAGGTGACGCAATCCGTCGCGAATGATGATTCGTATCAGCGAACACCTTCTAATAGTCATTCTGGAAAAATGGATGGGACAGGCAATGACACAAGTGGGGAAATTGCACAACATCCACCATCCCCTGCTGCTCGAGGGAAAGGTAGCGCGCAACCTGCATTAGAGCTTGTTGAAAACATGGATGAAGTAGAAGATCTGACTGTGGACTACGTGGATGGGTATGTCAGGGGTCATTCAGCTGCATTTGATGGTGTTGGTGTGGGTGTGTTTGACATTGGAACTGGTTGTGAGGATAAAACAGCAGCTTTGAGGCGTGGTCCTGAGATCACATCAATGGTTAGACGTTTGAAGAACAAGCCAAGTCGTGAATTTAGAATGTCTTACTACGAGTACGCAGATGTAGTGGGCCGAGGCAAACAGTGCGGTAGAGTGGTGTTTTGCAAATCATCGGAGCCCGAGGAAATTTACACGGTTGAGGATGTTGACGTGGACCGCAAAACGTGGAATGGTTTTGGCATGATCAAAAGGCATGCTGTGTGGAACTTGTTGAAGGATGATGAGTTAAGAATGCTAAATAAAGTATACAGTTTGGATGGTGACGAGTAAGTTTGTGTTTTGAATTTGTTGTAATACTTGTATGGTATGTAGCAATCAATGGTCTTGTTTGTTATTGTTGAATTTGATGTGTGGGTTGCAGGGCACTAATATGGGATGGTGGGGACAATGGAGTGCAAGTGCATTTCACCAACATCCAAGCCTTGGTACAACAAAACTCGATCCATGGGAATGTAAGCACATCTCTTATACTTTTAAATGTTGTTGGCATTTGATTTGAATGTGGAATGTTGCTGTTTTTGTGAGAATTAAAGCATTGTTATGTTGGCACATTCGGTTGTGAGGATTACATGCTCTAAGAAGAGTCTACAGTTAGAATCCTAAAATTAATACATGTACAACAAATTTACGTTGTGAACTGTCGTAGCTTTAGTGTACGCAATATGGAATCCTAAAACTTAAAAAAAAAAAAAAAAAAAAACCTAAGCATATGCAGTATCCAGTAATTGTGTGATTTTGTGTTACCATAACAATGAAGTGTGTGCATACACGTTGACACTATGATAGTAATGTATGAAGTACACAGAAACGGTAGTATTTAATACATGTACATTTTTTAAGAAAATACTTACGGCTGCCATGATGTGTAAGTAATCGATGCGTACGTCGAGATACTGATGGCAATGCAACAGAAGGTAGCTGGTAGAACAGAAAATAGGGACACGATCTACATCTGCAGTAGTGTGTGTTCGGTACGTTATGCGCATGTTGTACATTATCTGCTCATATGTAAATTGGTCTTCATAACATTGCAGAACAACTGTGTAAATTGACATTTACCATGCCAGGACATGATGAGAAACACCAGTGCGGTGTCAAGGACTAAGTACTTGAATGTTAACACAAAGGCAGCACGAGGTTGTAGGTACACGGTTTACCCAATACATCATGCGAACCATTGGACTGTGACGGTTCAGGAAATTGAAAGTGGAGAATGGAAGCATTATAATTCTATGAGGCCGAGACGTGGGGTTCAAGATGTGCATTACAATGAGGCTCTTAAAGTGGTAAGTGCTGTAATGGTTTTGGGGATGATGGGCTTACAATGTTCGGCACGCGGTGGTTTGGTTGTTTGCATGTGCGTGTCGAACTGTAGTTGGTTACGAAATAAATTGCATGCAACGGGAATAACCTACCATGAAATTGAACACTAGAAAAATTGGATGGCCGACCACCATACCAATTTCATGAAGGCTAGATTTGCAACGACAGACGTTTGGACTGATCACTTTGATGGTTCTTGTGTTAGTTGTGGATTGTCCGCAACAAGTGCTCGAGTCGTAAGTGTGCTTAGTTTCATGTGGTTTTTGTTATTTTGTTTTATATTTTTTGTGTGTTAACATATTTGTGGGTGTAACGTTGTCTATGTCAGTTGTGAATGCAGGTCAGACTGTGCAATTGTTGTTTGTTTCATTATACGCCAGTACATTCATGGAATGGAAATCGACACTATGATGGATGAAATCACCCCCATCGGTCTATGCGCCGCGATGGTTAAAATGTTTTTGAATGAACCAGCACGTGGACTTTGTGCCAGGATAGGATAATGTGTTTTGCATAAGCATCATTAGTAGCCTCCTTACCTCCCCATTTGTCCATTTTGTTTTATTGTCACTGGATTATGTTGGTTTTTTTTTTCGGATCGTAAGGGTTGAACGCTGATATCGTATATGTGGTAGGTTAATTTTTTTGTTGGACAAAATGTTGGTCTCCGAAATATTGGATTAATTGTTTACACATTTTGAACATGTTTATCCAAGTTCGAACAATTATGTCAATTAGCAGCAGGACACCATTGTATGGGCTGATTACGTTGACCGTTATTGAACATTTATGTTCATAGTTTGAAATTGTTTGCTTATTTACCTGTTTTATGGTACAGTATTTTGGTTCGGGGTTGTTTGGCTCATGGTTTTATGTTAGTAAGAGATGACACAATGAATGTTCTATTTTGGTACGAGACAATTATGTGTTTGGTTTCAGATAATAGTTTCAACAAATGGTTTGTTGTTTGGCATATGTGGAAGTGACCTCTAATTGTAGTTGACGAACACAGCATGAGTTGGGTTTTGCTGTATATGTCCGTAAATTATTAACTACATCGCATGGTTATGAAATTGTACAATTACGAACTTGGTCATGTAAATTTACATTTTGAATGGTTTGATATGTACACTTGTAATCGGTCAGATGGTGTCGCAAATTGGTTGATTCAGTGTTATGTATCATGATTTGATACGAACACTATGTGCTATCATAATAAATTCAATTAATGGGGTTTGGGCTGATGTTGGGTTTTGTAATGCACATTAATAAAATGGACTATAATAGAAATAAGTTGACATTCGCCAAATGTGTAACCGTCATGCATTGTTTTTCATCATCCACAGTGTGAACAAAAAATGATGTGCAGTTGGGTATAATGTTTGTCACAGCACAAATGTTGACATTAAAACACATTAGTGTTTCCCCAAATTTTGAAAACATTAACATGAAATTGAAACCGAAATGTTTTTTTGTAACAAACCCAGTTGCCGGGAAGACATATTACACAACATCTGGGTGTTTATATTGGCTCTTTACATGTCTTTTTGTTGTGGTTGACCAACTTTTCACATCGACCACCCCAAATGCGCTGAACTACTTCGCCCCTCGATGGAATCCGTTTTTGCTTGGGCCTACCCAGCGAACGCTTAGCTGTGGGCAACGTAATCATGTAGTTGGCTGGTGTGGTAGATGGCTTTTCAACAATTGGAATAGGATATATTGTTCCGTTGTACGATGCTTTGAACGTGTTAATGTGGAATGCATGGTTTATTGATTCGTGAATGTTTTTCCCGCTATTACGAAATGCGATGATGGCATGGGAACATGGAAACCCATTAAGTTGCCACTAAAAACAAGAACACGTCTGCCTAGCCACGTTCACCAACACTGACGAATGGGAGTGGACTTCGTATACATTGTCATTAGCCTGACTGACACACTACGACCTGTTGTCATTGTATGCCTTGGCTAATTTTTTATCCATTTTCCGACATATTACACCGGCCCATTTGGTGTATTTAACTCTGCATTCCGCCATTTGCTCCATGATTTGTCCCCTTACCATGTCAACCAGTTTAGTAATAGGAAGATGACGAGTATCGCTTACCTAATTGTTGAAAGACTCGGCAGCGTTAGAGCACATCTCACCGTAGCGTTGGCCCCTGCAAAATAACCAATATGAATGCAAATTAAGGACAGAAAACGATGATGAAATATAGAACTACTTGTTCTACACCATTGGGCAGTTTGTAGAGTACCTGAAATACGCGTTAGCCCAATGTTTGGGATGCAAATCTTTCATAAAATTCTCGATCACAACCGGACTACACTTCTTTAACACCTCTAATTTGTTGTTGAAGCAACTGACAGTGGGTGTGTGTGCACAATCCCTTAGTTTGCGCATCAAGCCAATTTTGTGCGATGCGTTAACGTATTTCATTCGGTCTCGTAAATTCATTTGAAGATGAAACAGACAATAGTTGTGGTGTGCCGATGGGAATATGTTTGGCATGGATTGCAGCAGACCAACGTGGCGGTCAGATATGAAAGTCAATGTCCTACCATCACCAACAACATCTTTCAAATTCTAAAGAAACCATTCCCAATTGGCTGAATTCTCGGAATCAACAATAGCGAACGCCACAGGAAACAATCCTACATACATAGCATGAAAGCAGGTGGGTTAATAGAAAATGATATACCCAATTGGATGGCATGGAAATGGTATAATCAAATTTGGTATTGCAATCTGACTTGTTTAATAGCCATGTGTACTGGTACATGATGAAATATAATAATCATGCAATGAGAACGTGTAATATGTTTTACATTACATCAGTTGTCAACACTATCTGTGAATGTATACATATAGGAACAAAAAATAAAACATATCAGTACCTTGATTGCCGTCCTTAGCTGTAGCGGCAAGCAAATTACCCTTGAACTTGCCTTTGAGGAATGTTCTGTCTAGGAAGAGCAAAGGTCGACAATGGTTGAAGCCATCTATACAAGCATGGAACGATATGAAATATCGAACGGGCCTTCCATTTTTTTGATCAAATTCAAGATTAATGTAACTATTGGGGTTTTTTTTTTCATAACGGCTTCACTGTACCACCTTAGTTGGTCGAACGACATGGCATGATCCCCATAAACTTCACCACTCACTTTCTCGACACCAAGCCATGCTACCCGGTAACTAATGTCCAATCCATAATCATTTTTTAAATCAAACACAACATTCATGGGGCGTACCAATGGCTGACCACGCACCCGGTCTGCGACAACAGCAGACACCAACTCAGACCCCGTACACGGGTTTCTATAAGTCCGTACTGCAGCGCCACAAGTGTGCACACTATCGAACCTCTTAACACATAACACCCCGTTCGATGGTAACACCCTCGCATGAACTGACCAAACACAACCCGTAACTGCTGCAAACTTACACACTGTAGTAATACGAACGGAATCATTTTTAATGTACTTGAATTGGAATCCACGTTCCACTGCATACTTGCATAGAACTTCGTGGAAATCATTGGCCCCCCTGTCGAAACATTGGCCCACATGGGTAATCCCATACGCCAATTGAACAGACAAAAATGTCTTCGATTTGTTAGGGCAATATGTTGGTAACAAATCCATTTGGTTATCATGACCAAAATTCGGTTCACCAAGGGGATTCACACCATTCTCCAAACAATCCACCTCCCCAACATTGCCCCCCTCTCAAACACTGCGTGCCTGAATTAGAACATCAATGTGATTTAGCCTGAACGACATGGCAAGACACAACATATTTTTAATATCGTCATCACTGTCCACCTCAAACTTCTTATACCCAAGAACATCAAACAACATACACACTGCCCCTCGGACTAACCCATTAACTTTCGCACAAATAAGATCAACCAACTGTGTAAATGTCAACCCGTACTGCAACCGAACAAGAGCATTGGTCTGTCCGTACGTACACACCAACAATAGACCATCATCCATACCTGTTATGTGAGGCACAAACCACAAAGTTGCATTAACGTTCGTAGACGCAAAAACATCAGAAAGTAATTAATATTAACGTTGGCAAAAAACACAAAAAACAATAAACCCACACCGGCAGTTACCAACACACCCCAAACACCCAAAACACCCAAAAACCACTACAAAAAAATTGACTTTTTGCGACGGTAAAATACCGTCGCTAATACTCCTAATGCCGTCGCTAATACTTTTTGCGACGGCAAGAGGGGGGTCGCAACTGCAGGGGTTGCAAAAGAGTTTTTGCGACGGTAAGTGCCGTCGCTAATGTTTTGCGATGGCATTTTTGCCTTTTTGCGACGGTACCGTGCAGTCGCTAATAACGTTTGAAATTTCTTGACTTTTTTGCGACGACCCTATTTTACCGTCGCTAAAAACGTTATTTGAGACGGCAAAAAACACCGTCGCCAATAGTCTTTTTTTTTTAAAAAAAACACTATTTTTTGCAACAGGTGGTGCCGTCGCAGAAAGTATAAAAAAATGAAATTTTCTATTTTTTGCGACAGTGTAATGCCGTCGCAAAAAATATTAAAAAATAATAAAATTTCTATTTTTTGCGACAGTATAATGTCGTCGCAAAAAGTAAACCCTGTAACAAAATTAATAAAAATATTAAAATTTTCTATTTTTTCCGACGGTGGTGCCGTCTCTCTCTCTAAGAGCTAATTATTTACATTCCATTCACAAAAACATCATAACAGAAAATAAAAATAAAAATTGATCAAACCATCAAATTCAATATTTTACAAAGAACAATTAAATTGTACATGTTCATAAAAACATATTTAAATTATAAAATTCACCCAAATCCTAAAAAAAATAAAATAATAAAATAAAATCTAAAAGAAACATATTTAATTGAATGTCAGACTCTCTAAGTGACTGAGAATCTACAGGAGGATTTGATTTTGCTGTTGCTGTGAGATTAATCCTGGGGGATCCAACATCTGAATCATCACCTCCAAAAGCCTAAATGAACAAAAAAACAAACATAATAATGAGGAAATAACAATGTCAGACCTGGTTAAATGTCTAACTAATAAAGAACAAATCACATTTTTTAAAGAAATAAACGAATGTTAAAAACAAATTATTACATTTTAAATAATTGTTGTTTCTATTCTTTGATCTGTGAAACTATTCAGCTAATCATCCAGCTCATATAATCTCTAAAGTGAGCACTAAATCCCTAGTCTTCCTCTTATTTAGTTTCTCAACCAAACCTGATCTTAAGGTACTGTTCTGAAGGCATTGTTCACCGCATCCCAAAGGACCCAAACAGTCCTTTCCTTCTTTGTTCAATTAATTCTCCAACCCTTGACCTTATGATATACTCTTAACCCCCACCCACCCCACCCCCAACATCCCTTCAAATATATTTCTTAAGAAATCATCATTCTCTTATTTTCTTTTCTTCTTTTCTTATTTTTATTTTTATGTTTTCAATCTATGTAAAGGACGTCAAAAAAAGGTTTCTTAATTTAAAGAGAGAGTTTTTAACTTACAGATTAAAAGAGAATCTATTAACAACACAATCTGCTTAAAGGATTAAGACTTGCCTTAGAACAGAAAACCTCAATCCATATCCATTCAAAGCTTCATGGGTTTCAGATCACAAGTTTCAGAGCACATCAGGAAGTACAGAAATGAATCTAAAAAAGCAATCTGAGAACATTTCCTTGGGTGACTTTGTGTTTCATAGTTTTCAGTATATTATAAACTAAAGTAACATTTATTCTCTATCTCACTGTGTATGTGTGACAAGCACATGTGCCTGGGCTATGTCCAAGTGAATCCAAAATGTTGCCCCCTCTATCCTTGATTAATGATTGGGTAATGAAATAAACATAGAATTTAACTTTTCATCATTTAATTTTTCTTCAGCTCTACCCAATTATTTATTACTTGTTCTGTTTGGACTCTTGAGGTTCCTCACTGAATAGGAGCACCATAAAATTTTTACTTCTTGAGGTTCCTCACTATAAAAGTATAGGTTATGGTTCAATTTGCACCAACTTCACAAAAGTGTCTTTCTCATTCTCTTTCAAGCCTCTTTCCAAATAAGACACTTTCGCATGTTCTACCATTGATTTCCATTTGTCTCCACTAACTTTTTCAACATCATATTTAATATTTTGATGATCTCCGTCAACTGCCTCATAAAAATGAAAATGAAGAAGGCACAAACAAGCTTCTTAATTTCAAGAATTTTCCATCTAGCTCCTCTTTTATCTACATCAAAGTTGATTTTTGCACCTTCAACCACACCAATAGATGTTCAGCATGACAACCAAAAATTCTAAATGAATCGTGACTTGTATAAAGTGGGTGTTTGGGAAGTTGCTTGCTTTTTTTTTTTTTTTTTTTTTTTTTTTTATGTTTGGGAAGTTGCTATTTTAGTAGACTATTTTAGTTTTTGGCTATTTTAGTAGGCTAAAATTTGTGTGTTTGGAAAGATAATTGATTTTTTTTTGTAGTTGGATGCGATGTTTGTGAGAGAAAAAGTGAAATGATTATGGGTTTGATGTAACATTTTGTCTTATTGGCTATTTTAACCTATTTTGTCTTTTTGTAAATTTTAGCCAAAATTAGGCTAAAGTCTCACTTCCCAAACAGCCCCTTTGGCAACTAAAAAACTAAAATCACCCCTTCCCTAGCTTCCAAATTATGAGCTTTTTTTCGCATATTAAAAGTTCTTTTGCCTTATAGGTTATAAGCAAAAATTGCAGCGAACACTTTGGCAACTTCCAAAATTATAACTAAAAAAAAAATAAAACTATAAACAACATTATAAGCTACACCAAACGACACATATATCTCATATAAAATGGGACTAGTGAGAAAATGGACACATGCACATGCCCCAAGACCCATGATGTATGAAATAGAAATAGAAATCACAAAGAAGGTATTTAAACAGCTGCGCCTTTATTAAACAAAATAAAAAATCACATTAAGAGCAACTTACATAAAAAATGTTCTCATACTCCTCCAAAAGTGTTGTGATGATGGCTTGAGCATTATTAGCAGCATTTGCGGCTGCAAGAAGCTGGGCAGAATTATCACCGTTGACATCAAAATCATCCTCCAATTCACATTCACCAGCTAAAAGAGGGCACAAGAGCAATGGTGCCATAGAAATTGAAGGTAGAGGCTAAGGATTTGGGTTTCAAATGTTAAGAATGATAGTAGAATTGAGATTTAAGGATGGTGTTCAAATTAGGGCTAGCAGGGTTGGCTTGGACGGGTTGAGGAGTGGCAAAAAATATGGGGGAAGGACTGCCAAAAGTGAAAGTAAGTGCTAGGATTAGGGTTTCAAATGTTAGAGATAATGATAGAATTGAGATTAAGGTCGGTGTTCAAAGTAAAAGACAAATTTTTTTAATTTTGAGGTGACAGTTCAAAGAACATAACGGTCCAAGGTTTAAATATAGACAAGCATGTATTAACCAATTCAAAATACGTATCAATTATAACCGATACCATTGGTTCATAATGATACGACAGGTAGACTACTACAAAACACTTTCTTTTTTATTTTTGCAGTTAATGATATTTTAAAAAGGAAAAAAGTATAGTAAACTCCCTTAAACTATGGCATGTTTTTAAGTTACCAAATCTCTGAATTTCTAATAAGATGATCTCCTTTACCAAATACTGTTATAGTAAACTCCCTTCAACTTTCTTTTTTTAAGTTACCAATCCACTCAATACTGTTATATTGCAACTAATAAGAATTCTTCTTCTAATACAGCTATTTAGAAATTTGATTCTAAAGAAATAATTTCTAATGTACCTTTCGGATATGGAGCGCTTCTCGTACTCTATCATTGTTATTCCAAAAATAGGAAAGTCTGTACGCATTGATCTACAATAAAGGATGGCAAACAAATAGTCATAAGATGATCTCCTTATCAAACCAAACTCGTGGGATCATTGGGATAAAATCAGTGCAATTTCAAATGCTATATTAGAGCATCCACAATGTTGAATGTCATTGTCAAATTTTAGCTATGCCATAATACAAAAATGTAAAAGTTTGGCAACCTTGCTCCAAACATGTGGCATGGTGAAAGGTTTCCGTTGGGGTTTGCCCTTCTGTTCTTCTCTAAAATTTAGCATGCCTATCAATTAACAATCAGAATCAATTTTCAGATCAAACAAAACAAATTCATATTTCAGATTCAGATTTAGATTTAGATTTCAGAATTAATAAAATTAACATATAGATTTCAGATTTCACAACTAAGATCAGCATTACACAGTGTGAAACACAACTAAGATCAGATTTCAGATTACACAGTGTGATCAACTAAGATCAACATTTCAGATTCAGATTAACATACAGACATTACACACACAGATTCGATCGGTGCAGTGCAGAGATGAGAGATCAGGGAGAGAGAGAGAGAGAGAGAGAGAGAGAGAGAGAGAGAGAGAGAGGCTTATCTGTGAGACAATGTGAGTCTATCGGGGCGAGAGAGGGAGGGACAAAGATGAGACGGATCTGATGAGATGAGAGAGTGAGGGAGACAGATTAGATCAGAGATATATCTGATATATATATATATATATATCTCAGATATATATATATATATATATAAAACAACCATCGGGTCGAGAGAGAGAGAGACAGAGATTGAGAGAGAGAGTTTACCTGTGAGTAGATCGGCGGTGCGATGATCGGTGCGAATCGATGAGATGAACAACGAGACAGTGAGAGAGTGAGAGAGTGAGAGAGTAATCGGTGCAGAGATGAATGAGATCTGTGCAGAGATAAACGAGAGGGTGAGAGAGAGAGAGAGAGAGAGAGAGAGGCGACTGAGAGAGTGATGTGAGGGAGACGATTAGATTTAGGGTTTTTTTTGGTTCTAAAGAGATTGGGGATTTTGGGGCGCGGGAATGAAAAAAATGAGGGGAACCGAGCGGGCGGGATGAAAAAAAAATAAAAAAAAAAAAATAATAATAAATATTTAAATAATAAAAATAAATAAATAATAACTTTTTATTTTCTTTCCGCTATTAAGGTTGATTTGTTTCATATATATTTTAATGAAAAATATTTTCACTAAAATAAAAGTTAATTTTCTGTAGTCAATGAAAAATATTTTTCTGCGGCCTATTTTTTTTATTACTAAAAATTATGAACTAATTTTTTGTAGTAGAGGAAAATGAGAGGCAGCAGTAATGAAGGTGGTGGATAAGAGATGATGGTGGTGGTGGTGATGGTGATGGCGAAGGCGAAAGAGATTAGTGGTGAAGTTGTGGTAGTGGTAGTGTAAATGGAGTGGCAGGGGTGAAAGAGAGGTAATGGTAGTAGTAGTGGTAGTGGTGGTAGTGGAGTGGTGGTGATGATAGTAGTAATAGTAGTCGTAGAGGTGAAGTGGCGATAGTGGAAGTAGTGGTGGGGGTGGAATGGCGTTTGTAGTAGTGGTGAAGGTGGTACTGGAGATGGATGGTGAGAGACATAAATTACAAACGCAGTAGTGGTGAAGGTGGTAGAGGAGATGGGTGGTGAGAGAGAGAAATGAGTGAGAGACAGATAGAGGAGAGAGAGAAAGACAGAGTGATGAGCGAGAGAGAGATAAAGAGAGAAAGAGATATAGAGAGAGACAGAGAGAAATAGATAGAGAAAGACATATAGAAAAATAGAGATAAACAAGAGATGAGAGAGACATATAGAAAGAGAGCGAAAAGAGATGAACGATAGAGAGAATAGAAAAATAGTGAGATGGAGAGAAGAGAGATGAGCGAGAGAGTAGAGAGAGAAAAGAGATGAGAGAGATAGAGAGAAGAGAGATGAGCGAGGGAGACACAGAGATAAGACAAATGAGAGAGATAGAGAGAAGAAAGATGAACGAAAGACACACAGACAAACAGACAAACAGATAGATAGACAAACAGACAGAGAAATAAGAGTGATGAGTGAAAGAGAGAAAGAGAAGAGTGGTGGTAGTTGAATGGCATTTGCAGTGGTGGTAAATGTGGTAGAGAAGATGGGTAGTGAGAGAGAAAGATGAGTGAGAGACGAATAGAGAAAAGAGATAGAGAGACAGAGTGATGAGTGAGAAAGAGACAAAGTGGTCGCTAAAAGTGTATTTTCTTGTAGTGGATCGATAAATCGATAGGGAGCTCAATAAATAAAGAAGACAGATAATTCAAAACTCTGTTCAAAACTTAATTCAAATCAATTTTTTAAATATTTTAAATATTTAAATATTTTAAAAATATTTTAATTTTGTGAGAGACAGATAAAGAAGAGAGATAAAGAGAGAGACACAGAGATAGAGTGATGAGCGAGTGAGAGAGATAGACAAAGTGGTTGCTAAAAGTGTATTTTCTTACAGTGGATCGATAAATCGAGAAGGAGCTCGATAAATAGAGAAGATAGGAGTAAGAGAGTGAGCAAGGCGAACATAGTGAGGGAGAAATAGAATTTTGGTGAATAATTGTGTGGTACTAATTAATTTGTGTAATGTGAGTTTATGTAAAATTCATGTAAAATGTGATAGAGATTAATTTTTGGATAACTTTTGAGTTAAGAAGGATAAGTTTGTAATATTACTTTTACCAATAAGGTTGATTACTTCACAATAGTGTCAAAAAATAAATAAATAAATAAATACAAATTCATGAAAAAATTCACAAATTTAGTTATTAATATTTATAAATTTTTTCATTGATTTGTAATTATTTTTTTATACCACACTGATATGATATTTTCCCCTATAAATATTATTGTAATAATTATAATTACAAAAAATTACTAATAAATCTTAAATGAAAGAAAGTTAAACCATTTGGTCCTAAGAGTTTTCTTGTACACCAATTAGTCCTATTTTTTTGGTATGTTTTATTTAGATCCTTTTTTTTAAAAAAAAAAAAAAAACATATGTACCCTTGATTTTGATTTCCTAATTGACTGATTCAGTTTTGGATGGAGATAAGGAAATGTTATCTTCGGGATTCCATTTTTGAATTGTTTAACATTGTTCTCATTGTTTTTGGGGAGAGTGTGTTGTTCCTTTTGTTTAGGGGTGACATTGTGTTGTTTCTTTTTGTTTGACATTGTTCTCATTGGTTCCATTTTTTGTTTACCTATTTGACTGATTCAAGCGTTGTTACGGCCATCATAGTGTAACAGGCGAGTAATTTTATTGTTGGTGTGTTGGGTTTTTTTTTTTTTTTCGTTTAATTGTGTTTGTTCACTACAAGAAAATTGGGTATATGAGACGGAACTATTTGCGACGGCACACTTGCCGTCTCAAAAAGTCACTTTTTGTGACGGCAGAAAATGCCGTCTCAAAAAAGCAGAGTATTTGCGACAGCACCATTTGCCGTCTCAAAAAAGCAGAGCATTTGCGACGGCACTATTTGCCGTCTCAAAAAATGGGAGTATTTGCGATGGAAATACTCCCATTTTTTGAGACGGCAAATAGTGCCGTCGCAAATGCTCTGCTTTTTTGAGACGGCAAATGGTGCTGTCGCAAATACTCTGCTTTTTTGAGACGGCATTTTCTGCCGTCACAAAAAGTGACTTTTTGAGACGGCAAGTGTGCCATCGCAAATAGTTCCGTCTCATATACCCAATTTTCTTGTAGTGAACACACACCATTAAACGAAAAAAAAAAAAAAACCCAACACACCAACAATAAAATTACTCGCCTGTTACACTATGATGGCCGTAACAACGCTTGAATCAGTCAAATAGGTAAACAAAAAACGGAACCAATGAGAACAATGTTAAACAAAAAGAAACAACACACTGTCACCCCTAAACAAAAAGAACAAACACACTCTTCCCCCAAAACAATGAGAACAATGTTCACCAATTCAAAAACGAAATCCCGAATATAACATTTCCTTATCCCCATCCAAAACTGAATCAGTCAATTAGGAAATCAAAATCAAGGGTACATATGTTTTTTTTTTTTTTTTAAAAAAAAGGATCTAAATAAAACATACCAAAAAAATAGGACTAATTGGTGTACAAGAAAACTCTTAGGACCAAATGGTTTAACTTTCTTTCATTTAAGATTTATTAGTAATTTTTTGTAATTATAATTATTACAATAATATTTATAGGGGAAAATATCATATCAGTGTGGTATAAAAAAATAATTACAAATCAATGAAAAAATTTATAAATATTAATAACTAAATTTGTGAATTTTTTCATGAATTTGTATTTATTTATTTATTTATTTTTTGACACTATTGTGAAGTAATCAACCTTATTGGTAAAAGTAATATTACAAACTTATCCTTCTTAACTCAAAAGTTATCCAAAAATTAATCTCTATCACATTTTACATGAATTTTACATAAACTCACATTACACAAAT